ATTTGTAATAGGAAGTCGAGTAAAAATACTTTTATCGTCTTATAAATTGTTTTCTTTTTTTTTTCTTATTGTAGTTTATTTCTTATGAGATAGAATTTCAATTTTAACAACAAATAAAACTGTTGTTCAATTGGTACAAGTTTTATTTTACATGAATATTTTTATCATATTTGAGAATTTTTTATTCTTATTAATCTTAAATCTTTTTTTCATGTTCAATGATAGTAAAACTCGTAGTTATTCTTACTCAATTTTGATCATCGAATGAAATTGTAAACCATCTAGCAACCTTTCGAGGACGGTATATGATATCAGTTATTGAGGTTTCTTTTTTGTAATTAGAATGATGAATTCAGTTTAGTTAAAGTAAAATAAATAAGTTTACGTCTAGAACAATCAACTAGTAACTATACTGTATACCCTCACTTGGAATGAGTCTACAGTGGTTACAATCAAAATCAAAGTACTACATGACCGATGATTTGAAGCACCAACTTGATCGTTTTCTTTATGCTACTAAGATTTTTATTTGTTAGATTATTTGACTAATGAAGCCATTATCTTCTCTAAATTTGAGGACTTTATTGATCGTCTATGCGATGACTTATAATATGTTTCCAATGCCTCGTTCTCTACCATCATCAAAATAATTCTTTAGATATTTTTTAATAGTTAAATTTTTTGATAAATTGTCGTGGTTATTGTATTCATATAGAGTTTGAAAAACAATCGAATATTGCAAAATTATTTTATATTGGTTTTTATCTCGGTCTCAGACAATCGATTGGGATTGATCAAGATTCATGTTCAAGAATACTTATTTTGCATGGAAATATCATCATTCACACTTAGTATACATGACTCTGCAAAGTTTAGCATCATTTGTGAATAACCTGTTAGTCATCATTATGTTTCGTCACTGTCGACAGTGATAAAACTTATATATCGACGTCATTCTTCATCAAAATAAGATAACTATTATAACTTAGTTATTCTTCATCGTTGTCTTTCTATCTGCAATATTTTTCTTTTGCTAGAACATACACTATTTCACTCAATTGCTGTTCACAATATCAGTGATGATACAAAAAGATGATGAAGAACTGCATTAGAACATAGTGTGTTGTAATTTATTTATAATAATTTACGATTATAGAAAGAGTCAAGAGATAGTCTACTTTAATTTTTCAACTTTGTCATTGTAAAATCAATCTAATAATAGATCTCTTTATGTAAGTGATATTTATCCGAAACATTATTGAATGAATTTTCAAGCATTTACTAAAGCTTACGAAGATCAATAGTTTCTTGAGACACTTTAAAACTTTTAGCGTTAATTAGTGTATTTTCGTTTTGTGAGTATTTTTGCATAAGTCAATGTTAATTGATTGTTTGAGAATAACAATTCATCATTGGTCGTCAATCATTTACTTATTTTTCATCTCAAAATTGACTCAATCATGTAAATACATACAAAGTCAACATCAATGTCTATTACACCCATATGATTGTAGTTCAAAAATTAGATAGATGTTTGTATGTTAGAGACTGTCCAATACTAAGAATGATAAACATACAATAATATTAATGTAATAAATATTCCTAAATTTACTTGAAACGCAGACAGTTAAGATATGTGGGCAACAGAAAATAAAGAGAAAGTAGGTATAAATATTGATTCTTTTTCCAAGCATAATTATAGCAAAACTAGATGCTCTCTTGACATTATAATAAATATAGATTGAACTAAAAGATAGTTCCGTAAGATATTGCTACAGACAAAACGGACAATTATCTTTGAAAGATTTCCTTTTCGATACAATCTAATTTTAGAGCAAATGGGTCGCTCAAAACTAAATAATATACTACTTCACTCCTATACTTAGAGTTATTTTTAAGATAACAGTTATATATAGTATAAAGAACTTTTACTGACTGTTAAATAGATGAACATGTACTCCATGAACATTTACTCTCATATATAAGATTTTGCTGCACAAATGAAATTATAAAAGGTCTTTTCGATAGAAAAGTAATTCTTTCACTCATTTAAATCAAATGAATCCTAAGACGCTTCAATTGGTATGACTTTAATAACTTTTTAACTTGGTTTGAAAGAAATAAGACTATTTCGTTCATTATCTATGTTTTCTATGACTTATGTTCGACAAATTTTGTCAGTTAAATATTGCCAATTTGCGAAAATAGATTGTCGAAACTTGAGAAACTTGTAAACTAGTAATAAAAACATCGCTACAAAATAAACTTAAACAAAATATGCAAAGTTCTTATTAAAAAGAAAATCTTCGATTTATAAAAAGTGTTTTAAATGATGAATAAACTAATTAACTTTTAAACATAGCTCAAAAACTAAAGAACAAAATTTAGATACAATTCGAAATTTTTCAGCCAACTAGAATTGGAGATTTTCAACAATTCATAGTAATTCAGAACAGTTCATTGTTGTGAACTTTGATTTGAATTCACAAAAAGAAAGAACTAATTTCATCAATGATGCCTCATTTTTCTCGGTTCGAATAATGAATTCATAATTAAAATCATTAAAAATCTGTACTTCAAGCAACTATTATATAAGATACGTGCTTTAACATCTTACACATGAGAAACTTATATAAAACAAAAATAGCCATCTCATAAGAGAGAAATAGAACCATACTCTTTGCATGAGATTGATATTCCATAAAAAAATGCGTTCTGTTCTGTACATTTTCTAAAGCTTGGATTTTTCAGTCAAATGATTGTACAATATCCAAATATGGCATTTTATCTTGCTGCTGAACACTGATTGTCATGTTCTAAATAGAAATAATACAAAGGCTTACAATTTCTGATTGTTTAAACGAATGCCAATCAAATGATTGAATATAAACCTAATGTATGTTTTGTATTATGATCAATGCATTTTCCTTTTTTAAGACATATGGTATTGATTTAGTAATTTTCTGTCTTTTATAGAATCACTTGCTCAAACTTAACTTTGACAAGCTAATTCATATATCAAAAGAAAGCACTATTGAAATCGACAAATTCATGCATATCCAAGAGAAAAGCATCATAGTAGTTTCATAAACATCAAACCGAAGAGACATCTAGTTTCGAAGTTTTCCTTCAGTACACTTTTACTCAATATGAAGTGCTGAGCAAGTATACTGAATATCAATGATTTCGAAAGTCAATCAAGAGTACAACCGTTAAGTATTACAACAAGTTGTACTAGATTTGCAACGTAATGAATATATTTCAGATTCGTTATAGAAGAAAGATCAACAAAAAAGCAGAAAAATCATAATGAACGAACTATTTTATCAATCATCACATCGCCACTCAGTTGGCTCATCGTTTGTTTTTTCTTATTTCATTACACTGTTTCTGTTTATTTCTATCTCTTATTATTAGTTATAAACAAAAATGAAATATAGTCAGTTACACTCTACTGAGACACTCAACGTGTTTGTGCTTTCATACAAGACTTCTTTTCTTTTTTACTGTTGTATATGTGCCGTAGTAAGCACTTCCGAGAGAAACCATTTAATATACAAAGAGAAGACGAAGAAAAAGAACAATATGTAAAAGAATTCAACTTTAATGGAGAAAAAGTGACTGTCGCTTCAAATGCAATTCAAATCATTAAAAACACATAAAAAAACAAAATAGTGTACTTGGAAATAAAGGTTATAAACAAGATGAGAAAATCAATTTAGTTCAAGTAGATAGCAAACAACGGACAATTTTTGAAATTATTTTCTTCACTCAAAGTTGAATATCTTATATGACAAAACAAGAGAGTAGTAACGATTTTGATTTGAAAAGATCCAAAGATGATAGATTTTATTTGTAAAAGATAACAACAGATATTTAAGAAAAGATCATGAAACTAATCTCTCTTCGAATGATCATATTATCTTAGACGAAAAATATTTTTTTCAAAAAAAAAGAACGATTCACAAACTACTAATTAGATGTGTTATTATTAAAATCATTTAATCGATTTTTAATCAAAAATATCCAAAATAAATCAAAATTTCATATATTATTTCCATTATTTCCGATTAATTTTGATTATAATCGATTGAAATTTGATGAAAAAAAATCGATTTTAATTGATTTTTGTTCATGATGCATAAAAGAATCTACAGCTGATATTCATCGATTTGCCTCAATTAAAATCGATTTTTTTCATCAAATTTCAATCGATTATAATCAAAATTAATCGGAAATAATGGAAATAATACATGAAATTTTGATTTATTTTGGATATTTTTGATTAAAAATCGATTAAAAGGTGTATGATTTAAATCTGATTTTATCCCTAAATTTTTTTATATGGGAGGAGGGCATGTGTATTGTAACTAATTTTTTCTTTTCCTTAAAATGCTTGAAGTTTGTAGAGGGAAGTTTTCTGAAATGAGAGTTGAATGTTGAACAGTTTGTTAAAACCAGAGGTGCAGAATTTGTCGTGATTTTGAAAAATTTCCCCCAACAACGGTGTTTTTCCCCTAGTAGTTTCCCTAAAATGTCCATAGAAATCAAAATTTTTCCCTCAACAACGTTGGCACAGACGGGCACATTCTGCACCCCTGGTTAAAACTTTAATTTATTAAATAATCCTCTTGAACGGTATGATTTTTAGTTCAATCTATGAACATGTAAAAAGATGGTTTTCAGAGCACATCATGAAAATTTAGTAATGATAAATATTTATGATAAAAAGTATGTAACGCCCTCTGTATCTACGGCTGTGGCAATTAATGCGACCTTTTCACAAACAGTATATACTTGAGGGGCTGTCGTAGGTAAACATGATTCATTATTCTTTTTTTGCAGCATCGTGCACATCTTACAGTCTGTTCTGCTCGTAAAACCTCACACCGTTTATTTTTCTATTTTTGCTAGCAAAAAAAAGTCGCCTTTTTATGTTTTTTTTTAAAGGCGTGTAAGAATGAAGCAATTATTTTTGCCAGAGAAGAGGAACATACAACATGGCTACTGCAGCAGCATTTTCTAACGTTGATGATTATGAATGTTGCGTATTATGTTCAAGTAAATATAATCGTAATCGACCATCATTTTGTCAATGTAAGCATTGTTCTATACCATTATGCCTGGACTGTATGAAAGAACATCACGATGAAGTTTTGCAGGATGTTGCTCAAATTTCTCATCAATATAATGAATTACAAGAATTAATACAGACAAAACAAAAAATGATTGTTGATGAAACAAATAAATCAATCGAAGATGTCAATGAATATTTTAAGACGTACATCAATGAATTACTTGAAATACAACAGGGAATCAATTTGAATATCGAAATAGCAAAACAAGATGCACAAGTAAAAAGAAGAGCCGGTAAATAAAAATATGACAATCTTCTTAATTTTTAGGATAATATACTTAAAATCGACTCAGATCTACGCAAACTTGGTATCGAAATTCAAGGCTTGACTAAAGAAAACATTGCTCAAACAATAAAAATGAAAAATCTATTAACAAACCTCAAATCCATTGAAAAATCAGTCATTACCTATCAAATCATAAAAACTGAGAATTTATTGAAGACAAAACCTGATTTCTCGATCAAGTTTGATTGTTCAACAGTTATTTCAGGATGTACTGCTCAATCTCTACCTATCGAGACGAAAGAAATGTCTCTACTAGAGTCAAAAGAATTATCGTCTGAAATTAGTCCATTAAATATGTCACCACAGTCTGCTACACAACAGAAATTAGTAGACCAACATGAAAAAGTTAATATTCCGCACAATTATGATTGCTACTATACTATCCCTCACAATCATAGACAAACAACATACATTATTAATCGAATGGCAAGCGATGGAGAAAATATAATGTATACAAGTTATTGCGAAGAAGAATCCGATCTCATTGCATACAGCCGCATGGACAATATTGATAAATACAGAGAGTGGAATCAATCGCGCATCAGTGATATGATATGGTGGAGTAGTATTGCCAAGTTTATCTGTGCTACCGAAGAAGGAATTTTTACTGTGAATTATATAAACGAGAAACTTAGGATTTTAAGTGTTATGCGCGATAAGTGGTCATATGTTCGTGCAGCAGCAAATACTGATTATCTCTTCATATGGAAGAACTCTATCCAAGATAACTTTAATGGTATTGAAGTCTATTCTACGGAATTTGAGTGTATCAGAACAATCGATTTTGATGATCGTCGAACTGGATCTTTCGTGAATAATAGTTCCAGCTTTTGTGTAACAAATAATGTTGTTGCATCAATTTGTACTCGTATGCGGAAGAATCGTGAACTATTTCAGGTTACTTTCTGTGATTTGAATATGAATGAATTAAATTATATTCTTCTTGGGGAATGTAAATGCAATATCGAAATTCGCACCGACGGAAAGGATCGATTCTTCATCACAACAGGACAACGACGATTTTATATTCTCTATTCTGATGGTAAAATGCAAACGGTCAATCTTCAAAATAATGGTGATTGTATTGCTGTTCTTCATAATCGACGCGTTGCCGTTAGCGATAGACGTAACAGTATGGAAATCATAAATTATTAAATAAACTGACAAAACTCAAATCCACAGGAATGCAAAATATTGTTATTCAGTGAAATTTATGCGCTTATGTTTCTAATTAGAGAATCGATTTCTCTTGTATCAGAACACACCGAAAAAGGAATCTTTCAGGGTGTAGGTGTGGATGTGGGATGGGTGTGCGTGGGTGTAGGTGTGGATGTGGGGTGGGTGTGGGTGTAGGTGTGGATGTGGGGTGGGCGTAGGTGTGAATGTGGGGTGGGTGTGGTATCCTCTCATTTGCGAACATACAGTCGAAAATTCAAAGTTTATTAAATTAAATTAAATTATATTTCATTTTTCAATTAATTTGAATTTTTCACATTAAAAGCGATTGAAAGTGTCAAATTTTCGATTTTTGATTCGTTAAAACTCATTTCTTCAAAAAAAAACTCCGAAAATTAAAATCGTTGCTTTTATTATTTAATATTTTTTACTGAAACGAATTTTAACAGCCATTTTGTTTGAAGAATTGAAATTTGTAGAGTTCGCTCTTGTTTTCTATGTAATTTCTGTATTCTGGTTTAGGAAGATGTATAGTTCGCTTCATGGGCGGCGGAACGATTTTAACTTAGGGAAGGCTCAAAATTTTTTCCTAGGCAATGATGAGAGATAGAACAAAAAAGGAACTATTTTCTACTTTTTATAATGTTCGCTATATTTTAAACGCATTTTTGTATTTATTCATATCAAAGTTTGAACCATAGTGAAAAATATTACGGCAACATTAACTTTTCTATTGGATAATTAGCATGTACATAAAAATCTTACACCTAATCTAGGGGTGCCGGCTTAGCATTAGTATTAGGAAAATGCTAATACTTTGTATTAAAATTAAAAAATTAACTTAATGCTCTGGTATTAGTGTTGAAAAAATAATTTAATACTTTGGCATTAGCATTGAATTAAAATTAGTATTAAATTAGCATTAGTTAATACTTTTTTTCTTAGGCATCAGCATTAAGTAATACTAATTTAATACTAGTTTTAATTTAATGCTAATGCCAAAGTATTAAATTATTTTTTTAACCCTAATACCAGAGCATTAAATCAATTTTTTAATTCTAATACACAAGTATTAAAATTAGCATTAATTAATGCAATGCTAATGCTAAGCCGGCACCCCTAACCTAATCTAATTTGAATATAGCAAGACAGAGCTAAAAGCACTTCTCACGACCGAAAATGATTTCATGCTGTTTTTTTTTGAATGAACCATTGCAGCTATTCTTCTATTCCATGTAAACTAATTTTTCTTCATATGAAGGATATCGATATGACTAAAAATGATCAGCGAATAAAATGTGACAAAAGTCATTGTGACTTATTAAATGCATTTCAATGCACTATTATTCAAGCTGAATCTAATATTTTTTATTTCAAATGGGAGCCTAGGAACACTTTGTTCTTAAAGATCAAGTTAATCAACAACGTAGCAAAAGTAGGATTTGTCGCTACAAAAAGAAAAACGTTAGGCTTTTTCTATGTCAAAAACAATACAGTGTTACTTTCTATATCAACTAGAACTTTGTTCGTCATTGTGCACTTCAGATCATTTAGATCTTTCAGTATTGCTTGACAGTCATTTTCTGACACATTTTGAAAAGAACCAATAACTGATGCATTTTCCCTCGGTAGGTCGTTCGTGCCTCTTCGAAAACCATTAAGGCCGTGAAAAGTGGAGGGGTGGCAAAATTCTCACAAGCAGAATTTTAGAATTCTCTATTGTATATAAATTTATCATAATACAAATACGAATTGTTCTTCTATTAACATAATTCTTATAATGGTATACACAATCATAGGTACACATCTCCTTTTCAAAATCAACGTTCTGCTGAGAATTATATTTTCCCAACAGAATTGTGTTAGAATTATGATTTCAAGCAGAATTGTGCTTTATCATATACACCTTCATACATGCACATCTTATATACACATTTCCCCTTCAAAAAATAAAATTATGCTGAGAATTATATTTTTTCAGCAGAATTTCGTTAGAATTTTGATTTCAAGCAGAATTTTATTTTATCATATACACAATGATATATGTACATCCCCCTTCAAAAACAAA